TAGTGGTACCTCTTCATCTGCTGTAACGTTTTTGTAGAACCGTGCAGGGAACAAGGAGGAGGTGAACAAGCTGCTCAGACCCTAAGGAAGGAGGTGCTGCTGCAGAAACCTGAAGTTCTGCTGCTAACAAAGGCAGGAGGTTTATTGATCAAGAAATGGGAAATAATGGTCCTAATCACAAGCAGCCTGGTATTGATAGAGCTAAGTTAATAATGCTTAAAGGGAGGGAAGGAAAGGTCAATGTACAAGTGAAAAATTGACTGCTGTCTTGTTAGGCCCGAATGCCTGTATTATTAAATATAAACTTTGCAGTGCACCTCAAGTAAACCAGGGAACATAAATTATGTAAATTCATCTCCCACCTTTCTACTGCACTACATTAAAGGAAGCAGGGTAAGACCCAAAGTACATGATAAAGGGGGGGAGATTAAAAGGAAATGCACATAAGCTTAAGGGTTATAGCATGCATAGATCAGGTCATAAATTAATTTGAATGAGGACTGTTAAGATCCTCTAGCGTAACCCTGGCCATAAAATTTCCTCCAGACATTCTTCTATGAAACCTTCACCTTTGTCTGAACAAGAGAATATCCTCCAGAAGGACATCAAAGTTTGATTTAAAGGCAGGGCATAATAGAAAAAGCACTATATCCTTAATAAGCTAATAGAAAACTCATTTCTTATATCCAGTATAAATGTGGTTTGTTTTACTTTCCAGAGAGACTGGTTGCCAACCAGGAAACTTTAAGTGAAAAAATGCCCTTTTTTCATTAGGACTAGAAAAATCTAGAAAACGAGTATGAGTGAAAGATCAAAACATCAGTAATTTCAGGCTGGTATTATGCATTTAGATGTAGAAAGAGCATTCTCTTTAAAATTTGTTTCTTTTCATGTTGGCATATTACAGGTCAGAGATGAACCCTTACCTGTGTGTCCCACTGGGAATCTGGTGTTTGGTATTTTTAGAGCAGTAGCATTATCCCAGTAAGTTTGCTTCTGTGTAAAACCAGCTTTCATCCTAAAGGAGCTGCTGCCCTGACAAAAATCAGATAGGGATTTCTGCTCTGGCATCCCAGGGAAGCAGAGCCCTTGGGGCCACTGAGGTATGAGCCTGTGCTGCTATTGCAGCGAGAACATGCCGGTGAGACAGAGGAAGAGGATGGGCTGGTTGGCATGAGACATGCCATTGGTGTGTGGTGGGATGATAACCAGAGGGATATCCTAGTTAATAACTTGTTCCCCATCAGTGATTAACACCATCTCCTGATTAACAGCTGGGAAAGAGGTACTGCATTTTGCGGCCACTTCAAAAAAAAATTAGTGCCGACCGGGCAAGGAGCAGGTCTTAGAGGAACGACACTGGTTTTGCTCCTGCTGCATCCTTCCATGCCTTTCGGCTGCTCACAGAAGTCTCTCTGCTCTACCGCACCACCAGGTTTAGAAAACTTACGAAGATTCATGCTCTTTCAGGTTGCTGCCTTTTTGTCAGGTCTGGTTGAGATTGAGCAGCAAGTAAAAAAAATTGGAGGGAGAGGCAGGGATGTTGTATGAGCCTCAGTCCCTTGGGGACCAGGCCAATACTGACCACAGGCACAAGACCTCACTGCTCCTTGCAGGATGTTTCCAAAGGAAAAGAGGTCAATCCCATTCGCTGCAAGACATGGGTATCACAAAGAAGCCCAAAGCACATACTACAGTCCTGCGTTGTTGTTACTTAGAGCGGCTCCCTGCAAAGCTGCCCTGAATTTATCATCTAAAACCCTTAGCAACATTAGTTGGAAATTTGTCATGCAACTGTTCAGCAAGCCAATGTTTGCTCAGCTCACCTGTGCCTGGCTGTCTCCACGAGATCTCATTTGCCTCACCTGCGTGGAACAGGGTGACCAAGATTGCCAATGTCTAAAAATGACGTCTCTGTTAGCTGCCATCCCTGACACCTCCTCTTTATGGCCTGATTTCCCAAGGAAACAAGGCTGCTGCGATCATGTTGCCTCTTTGGCTCTAGACCCCACAAATCACTTTAAAATCTGTTGGCCACTTTCAGGGAGCTGTGGCAGCAGGGTGGAAGTCTCAAAGGCAGTTCAGCTGCTGCAATCTCGGCAAAATTACATAGGTGAGTGGAAGGGAGAGAGTCAGTCTTGTAACCCCACGTGGGAAAAGGTTCCAGCCAGACCTCTGTTAGTGAGCAGTGAAGCCACCGAGGCCAGGGGACATGCACAGCCCAACTGCAGCGGCTTTGCTCACATTTGGTATCTTTTTAAACAGCCGATGATCCATGAACAGGACACAGAGCCCCTACAGCACAGGCTCCTGGGCCATAGGGAGCTCGCTGCAGCACTGCCAGCAGTGAGGCTTCGAGCTGCCCCTGAAGTGATTTAATCCCTAATAACAATATTTGAACGCTTGACAATTAGAGAACTCTCATGCCGCTTGCTTGCCAAGATGTGAGAGTAATCATTTCTAAGACCCCCTCGCTAAGCTGTAATGCTAATCAGTATTAAGATTCCTCTTTTTCAGATTAACCCCAGCATGCCATGAACCGATTGCTGGAAGCCGGTCTGGAGGCTGGGCTTGCTTGGAGAACTGGTAGGGAGCTCACGGCCTCTTGGTGCGTTGCGTGTGTTTTATTTGTAGGTAAGAAACACCGGTCAGGGTGGTTGTGTCTCAATCCTGTCTCCTTTCAGGAGGACTGATCTAGAGGCTGCTTCTTGTCAGCATGAACCTACAGTCCCATCTCTGAATGGGCAGGAGCATCTTGAAGCAGAGGTATCTGAGCAATGATGGAAATAGTGCTGGGTCTCAGAGGTGCTGGTACTCAGCCAGGGTACCGGGACTGCACCATGGGCTGAACGGCGAGCGCTGACAGGGCGGCAATGAAGGTCCGTGACTCTGTGCCACTCGGCTTTGGTGTCCTCGAGAGCCAGCTGTGAACCTCTGGTGTGTGACTCGCACATGATGGAAACGACCCCTCTAGTTTTCCTTTTGAAAGGGAATTCTCAACCCACCTTGGCCTCTTCATTTAATCTCCCAGTATTGGATACTCATCAGCCATTGCCTCCCTCCCCTTGGCATTTGCTTCCTTTCCTGTTGCTAGCACTCAAACACTTGCTGCTGCATAACAGAGGGGGGAAAATGCACAAATGTCTCTTTATTCAACAGATGGCTTGAAAAACCTGAGAAGGCTTAGCCCTATGTAGAAGGCACTTGTTTTAAGGATGCTTCATATGGCAGAACTGGAACACACGGTTTCCTTTCATCACTTATGTCAAGACTGGAGTTGGGCTAAGAGGTGTCACCCCCCCTCACCGCTGCATGCCTGCCTCCTTCGAGCTATGTGGAGAATCTCTTCTCTCCTTTCTCTCTGTCTTGATACTTTCCCTTTGATCTGTGTCATCTCAGGTTTATGTTCCATGATGCAGAAAGAGCTTCATCAAGTGGGCAGGAGCAGAGCCTCGCAGCAGAGCGTGTTCACTTGGGTTATTTCTCTTCCACATCGGGTTATTTCTTTTCCTTTCTCTTCCTGCACAGCAGCCAAGGAGGGAACTTCTTTACCCTAGGAGGAATCAGCCCCTGCCAGGGGCTGGCATCACTTGGGGATCACACGCGGCTCTGCCTAGGGCTGATGGCTTCACATAGCATGTGATGTGCTGTAGGGCTGGGTCTTCCTTTGCCAGGGTTGGCTTGGTGGCTTAAAAAAGCAAGTGTAGAGCAGAGCACCGAAGTGGCCAGTGGGCACCAGGAACCTCCTGTGGTTATAAAACAAGAAAACCAAAATAGCTTGAATGCTTTTCACACTGTGTAGGCTTAAGTGGTTTTTAAAACAGGCTGGGTTTGCCTTGGATGTGGTAAATGAGTTCTTCTGAGTCTGGGAGGGCTGTCAGTGTGCAAGAGACCGAGCACGGCAGGACGGGCAGCCTGAGCCACAGTAGTAGCTAAACATCCCCCAGTTGCCTCAGACAAGCCCTGTACCTGGGTACAAAGGTCCTTTAGGTCGGGGTGCCTTGTGCAAGGGGTAGATGAGGGTTAAAGCTGCCATGCAGTAACATTATTGAAGGCACTGACAATTTTTTTTCTATCTTGTGGGTCCACCTTGAGTGGTTCTGGGGGCTCAGACTGAGCGTGGACCACTCGACCGAGCTGTGCTGATGCAGGCTGCTCTGCCCAGCTGGGTCCCAGCAGTGCATGGGATCTCACCGGCCGAATAAGAGTGGATCCCACCCTGACAGCTTCCCCAGACTAGCTAACCTTCCCCTTGGGACAAGCCAGGAGTCAGGGAGTCGCAGTGTCTGCCACTAGATTGTGCAGTGAGGTTATATGTGGCACACAGGTCGTGTCTGATTTTTTCTTCTCTTTAAAGCAAAGGCCTTTTTTAGTGTGCGAATAAATGCTCTCCTAAAAGAGAACACACCATCTGCTCCTAAGCACAAATTTAATTTTCCGAAGGGTTAGACTTAAATAAGATCTACAGGCTCAGAGGGGTGGCTGGAGGACCCCGTAATGGGTTTTTGCCCCTTCTGCATCTTGCTGGAAGCAGATGTCTTAGTTTATGGCAGGGCAACGTGGTGCCTGCAATGAAACAGGGGCTCTGGCAGCTGGAGACTCCACAGACTCCCTGAGCTCCCCAGGGCCTGATGGTTAAATTAGCGCTTGCAGGTAGGCTTAGAGCATTGACATGCAGACAAACAATCAGGAGAGAGTTGCATGGGGGCCCTGCCATGCACAACCTGTGCCCTGCAAGGATCCACCTCTTTCCTCATCCTTAGGGGAGTCAGCAAGCGGGAATCACAGCTGCAGTGAGGCACTTTATTGTGCACAGTGATTTGTTGGGTGATCTGGAGCAAGGATGTGCACCTGGCTGTTTTTTCCTATGTGGGTGCTAAAAGTGCCAGCCAGCTCACCAGTAACACCAGTGCAGGGTCAGGTTCAATCCCTTTAGAGCACTAGTCCTGCATCAGCTGAGCCATGTGGCCCTCACACACTTTGCCTCTCTTGCCTTCCAGCCGCTGGTGTTGCTGATGGAGTGGCCTGAAGCCACTAACTTTGCCTGCCTGATTGCAGGCTACTGCCGTCTCCTGGTGGACTCGAAGAAGATGATATTCTCCAGGGCCCCCAGCCAGCCACCCCCACCTCAAATTATCAAGGCAGGTATGTTTCAGCCTCTGCTTTATGTGCAAGCCCCTTCCCCAGCCGCCTCCTCCTCCTCCCTCCACCTAGGGCTCTGCAGCATTACAGTGGAGAAGGGTTTCTCTGGTATCCCTCTGCTTCCATTCTCCCTGCATAATCAGCAGACCCCCTTTTAACCAGAAAACAAGGAGCAGGGAGAGAAGTCCTCATTTTGGATAAACTCTGACTTGTGGTGTCAGCTTGGGCTTTAAACACTTACTGCAAGTGTTGTTCTGGCAGCTCCTAGAGCAGATCCAGGAGGTATGGTTTGAAAAGACCTGTAAAGCTGCCAGCTAAATGCTGGGTCCCCGCAGAACAGCCTGTGTATTGCCGCAGGGATGCAGCACACGCTCCTTGGCTGGCATCCTGGCTTTAGAGACCCAGCATGAGTGTATGTGCTCAGCCAGGGGCTGTGCTCCTGCTGCCTTTGGACACTGCTGCCTTCATCAGTGGGGGTCTGGGCTGCATGGGCAGCTCTGCAAGGACAGCTGCTCTGCTCATTTCCTAAATTAGGAAGGAAACTTTGGTGTCCCAGCTTTTCAGGTGCTCAGCCTGATGCAGGGAGCAGAGGGTTGGTCTGGGCACAGCAGGAGACCACAACAGCTAAAGACAGGTTCTGTCCCACCAGGCACCGATGCTCTGTTTCTTGAGGATGGATTGCAGGTGTAAGTCACCCTCAAAATGATCAATGAGTCTCAAGAGTGATTTCAAACAAGAGCTAACCATGAGCTACATGCTGTTGCTCTATGCAGGTGTTCACATTGAATATGTTTTGTATAGGGAAATATAAAATACAGGATCAGTGGCTGGAGATGGGCAAAATACCAACCCAGCTGACTCTGGAAGGTTGCCCCAAGACCTCCTGAGTGATACCATGTGACAAGTCTTCAGTTTAGCTGGCAGAGTGTCGAAACTGCCTCCTCAAGATGGGACTATCTGGGGGAGGTGGGAAGAGTGCTGAGAGCTAGTAGGGTCCTTGGGAAAGGACTCAGTGCCTCTGAGGAAGGCAGCTGGACACGGACTTGGCACATGTGGGAGGACAAACTCTGAAGAGGCATCAGGAAAGCATCTGCAGCAACCTCAGTGAATCCAGGCAAAGGCCTGGCAGGTGATGTTGGTGTAAGTATACGCGCATGGTTTCCTTTAGTTTCTTCATCTCTGCCTCTTATTGACAGCTATCACTGTGCTCTCTGCTCTGGGTGCCCTACAGAAACACATTTAGTCACATTTTGCTATGAGTGGAGGGTGTTTCCAACCTAACTGGCTGTCATCAGATTGGCCCCTCCCTGGGTCATGTCACCCTGAGATAAGCTACAGGGAGACATGGGGCACATGGCTATGGGGAGTCAGAGGAATGCAGTAGGAAGCGGAGAGCATCCCAGAACATCCCCAAGGGGTCGGCATGAGGCTGGCAGCACTCACAGTTACTGGTCACTCAGGGGATGTCTCAGCATGTGTGAGTGGTGCTTTTCCACACTTGAGCAACAGTGATAATAGCCAGGGTTTTTCCTTGGGGAGATTTTGCTCTGTGGGCATGGTCTAAACCTATTCCAAAAGGGGTAGTAGATCTTGCCCTTCTCTTGACAGTCTCGGGAAACCAATGTCACTCTGCAGAGGGCTGGAGTGAGTGTGAGAAGAAGTCATGGTGTGGGTAGGACAGCAATGGATCTATGGTCTTCATACGAAGGAGTTAGTCCCTCTCTGGATGACCCCTATCCTTAGGGGTGCAATGAAAACCTCTTTGACCATTGAAGTGGAACAGTTTCCCTGCAAACCCAGTACACTCAGCCCAGCCACTTGGGCATCCTTCAGAAGGAGTGAATTTAGTGTGTATTGAGAAAACAAAGTCTGCTCACAGTTCTAGTCTCGCTACAGCTGCAGGCTGAGCTGTCAGGAGCTAGGCAGATCACAGGGAGCAGGGGCTGCTGATCATTAGCATGTCTCTGCAGGAATGATAAGAAAGCCCCACTGGGATGAATCAAGTTAGCCCAGGCTGCCGGCAAGCTGTGCCAGAATCTTAAATGTGAAATCAAGCCCTGGCCCGTGCTTCTTGCCTAGAAGAGGAGCACATCCATCTTCCCTGAGGCCCATTAAAACTAGACATTTTTAGAAATGCACGTTCTGTCTGGATGCTCTCAGTTAGATTTGTCTCTCTGTGTTTCCCTGTGGAGCCGTATGCCAGACCCTTGCCCTCCACACGAAGGGCTGTGCCATGCTGGAGCTGCGCAGGCAATTCGCCTCCCTGCCCCTCCCTCTCCCTGCTCCTACCAGTAACCATCACCAGCCAACCGGTTCCGTGCCCTTGGTTGCTCTCTCAGCTCTTCCTCGGGACCTTCTCCCCTGGAGCATCCAGCAGTTGGATTATGGATCCTAGCTTTTTGGCCCCATTTGGCAACAGGCCCTGGCTTGGCATGGGCAGCCCCTGCGGCTGTCCGAACAGGGCAGGCTGCTAGCATGACCCATCAGAGGTGTCTGGCTTTGGGAAAACCTCTGTTTCGGTCCATGCTAAGCCCAGCCCTGAGCCCATGTCCCCAGCAGTGGCAGCCTTGTGTTCACTCGCACAGCTGTCATTTCTGAGAACAGGTGTGTCCATAAATGAGAGAGAGAGATTGTTTTGAGTGGGATTTTAGCATTGCAGGTGATGAACAGTATGATACAACCATGTGTTTGAGGAGACAAATTGTCCAATTTGTTGAGCTAATGAATTTAATTGGGATTTACTTGATTTAATTTATACTTGGTAAAATGGAGCCTGCATCCCCCTGGTTGGGATTTACTTGATTTAATTTATACTTGCTAAGATGGAGCCTGCATCCCCCTGACAGCTGTTCTCCGCACAATTTGACCTGTAATGCAGACACATGCCCCTCCTGAGGGCAGAAGTTCAAGCAGTATTTCAGCCACTTGCCTAGGCACTAAGGAGTGCGGGGAGGCTGTCGCAGGGAAATGTTTAACAGCAGGAACAGAGGGATCTTTCGGAGCTAGCCTGATCCGATAGCTGTCAGCCGGATAGAAACAACGCAGTATTTCAGCCACTTGCCTAGGCACTAGGGAGTGCGGGGAGGCTGTCGCAGGGAACAGAGGGATCTTTTGGAGCTAGCCTGATCCAATAGCTGTCAGCCGGATAGAAACAATGCATGGATCGTGGGCAGCGAGGGACAAAGGATGGGGATGGGCTGGGGAGGGGGGGTGTCTGTCACTTAAAGTCAGCCAAGCTATGTTGGATGTCTCCCCAAAAGGCAATACTGCGCCACGTTTAGCAGTGTCCTGAGGAAAACTGCTTGGTCTAGCAAACGTTATGCAAAAGTGGTGACAACAATTCCTTCTTGCTGTATAATGCGTGAACTGGCAAACTGAGGCTGAAGGTCCTCGTTTGTGCGTGCAGCCAGGCTGGTGCCATTGCCCTCTGAATTCAGCTGGTGGCTTGGTGATGCAGCACCTGCATCTCTGTGTCTCAGTGCCTGCTGTGCTGGCCAGCACTCCTCTGGTTCTGCCCAGCTCTGCCCTCCAGCAAGCTACCGGGATCTCCCTGCTGCTGTCACACAGCACAGAAACAAGATATTTTCCCAGGCAGTTGACATGGATGGACTCCAGCCCAGAGCAGTAAGAAAGCTGAGATGTTTAGGAAACAGACCTGTCAGGAAAGGCTAAAGGAGTTTGTTGTGGTTAGTCTAGAAAAGAGACAGGTGGGGAGATGGAAAGGGAGGAACAGGACCATATTTCTGATGGCTAAAGGTTGTTCATAAAAGAGCACTGATCAGTTGTGCTGCTGGTCCATGGTGTCATTGATGTAATTCCTCACAAGAAATGGCTTTAGGATCAATACTTTCTTATCCTAAATGTCATAATATTTAACTTCATAAACTTTATGATTAAACTCTATAGCATGTAATCATTTTGGAGACAACAGAGCAAACCACACGAGGAGGTGGCCTGCTCCATCAGTGTGTCACAGGGCTTTTGCTGCCTGGGCCTCAACTGCTTCTAAATCCTGTCCAGCCACCCCCTAGGCTCTTCTGGCCTTCATCATCGCTATACCCCAGCCACATCTAAGGGCCTCACTAAAACACTTTCAACAGCTCCTTGTTAATGAGAATCCAGATTTTATTGATTAAGGAAAAAAAGGCATGTCAGCTTCTTCAATACCGTGTGGGCTTTTTTTCAGCTGGCCATCTTCCATGTCCACCATGTAAATCTCTATGTCCCTCTCCCTTCTGCATCCTCCAGGTCTTCCCTTCGTTCCTTATTGCAGGGAGGCGTTGATGTCTCAGGGCCAGAAGGTCACTTGTCTTCAGTGTCAGCGGTTGCCTCCTGCTCTCAGTGGCAACACACGTGGTATCCCTCGGGGCTTAACCCTTTCCTCTAGAGAGATGCACGCACTCAGCTGGGGAGGCCAAGACAAGCGTGGCACATACAAAGCCACCCGTGGGAATGTGCTCCCCTCCATCACACACATGTTTATGAAGGTTGCTTTAGTTACAGTTTTCCTGCCTCAGGGGTGGGGTACAGACAAGCTGATCACCTGAAATCCCTTCTACCCCATGATCTGTTCAAGGAGTTGGTCAATAGGACCCCTTGGGAAAGTGCCCTCAGGGACAAGGGAGTAGAACAGAGCTGGCAGATCTTTAAGGATGCTTTCCATAGAGCGCAAGAGCTCTCAATCCCCAGGTGTAAGAAATCAGGCAAGGAAGACAAGAGACTGGCATGGCTGAGTCAAGACCTGCTACTCAAACTAAAGGGCAAGAGGAAATGCACATGCAGTGGGAGCAGGGACAGATGTCCTTGGGAGGAGTATAGGGAGGGATGTTGCCCAGTTGTGTAGAGATGGGGCCAGGAAGGCCAAGGTGCAGAGGGAGCTGAACTTGGCAAGGGATGCAAAGAATAATAAGAAGGGCTTCTATAAGTGTGTCAGCCAGAAAAGGAAGGTCAAAAAATATTTAAAGGGGGCTTATAAGGAAGTGGGGACAGACTTTTTTATAGGGCCTATAGCGATAGGACAAGGGGTAATGGGTTTTAAACTAGGAGAGGGTAGATTCAGACTAGATAAAAGGAAGAAATTTTTTACAATGAGAGTGGTGAAACACTGAAAGATGTTGCCCAGGGAAGTGGTAGATGCCCCATCCCTGGAAACATTCAAGATCAGGTTGGACAGGGCTCTGAGCAACCTGATCTAGTTGAAGGTGTCCCTGCTTATTGCAGGGGGGTTGGACTAGATGACCTTTAAAGGTCCCTTCCAACCCAAAGCATTCTATGATCTGCATGTGCAGGACTTTTCTTCTGCACTCATTACTGGCGGATAGGCCCAGCGGGTTGCAGAAGATGGTTTTTCAAAAGACCAGCCAGGTGGCCTGGCTGTGCCACAAGGAACAACAGTGTCCCGCTGCAGTCTGGCATGCTGAGGGCTGGAGGGCAGAGAGCACATGGATGTTTCTCCAGGGTGAGCAGGAGCTTCCCCATGCTGTTTTCCCTTCTCCTGGGTGCTGCTGCTAATGTGCCTGTTGTGGTTTTGGTTTAGATTACATCAACGCACACAACCTTCACCGGCCTGCTACAGCGGGGCACACGGGAAAGAAAGAGAGCAGGCTGGTGGGTGGCTCTACCACCAGCGCCGAAGCAGCCGGGACTCCAAACACCAGGGCTTCAGACTCGGAGCTCATCAGCTTTTGCTACCTGCACATGCGAGAGCAGAGGAAGGAAAGAGAGAGCAGGACAGATATTAATGAAAACCTGATTTTTTTTGAGGAAACTCGTCCCAGGACCAAATCTGACCCCACTTCCAAAAGCTCTGGCCAAGGCTACAACGGGGCAGCTAATGAGTACGACCCAGATGGCCTTGACCAAGACAGGCACGCGAGCAGGGCCAGGGCACACACCATAGACACCCACCTGCAGAGCGACACCTCGCACTTTTACTGTGAGTCCTGCCAAGCCAAAATCAAGAGCCGGCTGGCCTCATGCAAGGCGGGCAAGCCCAGCAGCACCCGGGACAATATGGTGGACTTGATGTCACTTCCCCCTCCCGGGAGCGATGAAGAAGAAGAGGAGACGACATCTCTGCTCCCCGCCATCGCTGCCCCCCCTCCTGGCTTCCGAGACAATAGCTCAGACGAGGATGATCCCAAGCGCCGGGCAGCTGCTCAAAGCCAGGAGCAGGGCCGGCACCTCTGTGGCATCCTCTACGACGAGATCCCTGTCACGCTGATAGACAACGTGCAACCACGGACGGTCCGAGACCATGCCCAAGAGCTGGATGACGCCCTGGTGTCCACCCTGCAGGCGCTGGAAGCCCTGGCTGCTTCAGAGGATTGTCCGCATCCTCCACCACAGCAGACAGCAGGTATTTCAGTGGCTGTGACTTTCTTTTTTCCCTGTAGCCTTTCTTTCCTATGGTACCTCCTTCCCTTTAGTCTCCTTCTCCTATCCTATATGTGATTGTGGAGCAGCTCCTAGTAAAAACTAAGTTGTGGCAACAAGCTCTAGCAGGAGCAGCCAAGCTGCTGCTCAGAAGAGAAGCTGAGGTGGGACTTCTCTCCGTGACAGTAGCTGAAGGAGTCTCTTGGCTATCCCATACCTGCCATGGTCCACGTGCCATGATGCTGGGGTGAGGCACTAACAAACCAGTACTGTGAGCATGAGTTTCTCCCTGCTGTGACCCTACTCAGCTGGTACCTTCGGCCCCCGGTCTTCACTGGTTCCCACCCAGGTTTTGCAGTGTGTGAGCCCTTCACAGGGCAAACCTGCTGTCAGATGGGTGTCTCTGGGACCGGCCTGCTGGCAGCACAGTCCTTTGTCCTGCTCCCTGCCTTGGTTGCCCTACTCACTATGGCAGAGTAGCTGTTACCTGATTTTTTTTTCCTTCTTGCACCAGAGAAGTCCCTGTAGCTCTGCTATCACTAACACTGGAAAGCTTCCCAGGACCTTTTCCTGGGCCAACAGTTCTTGCTGAATTGAGCTAGCAAGCCAGCTCAGTGCTGACAAGTGATCTCTGAAAAGCATCAACTCTTAGTTGTGGGAAATCAGTAAAGTTTCTCCGATGGGATGCTGTGTCCTGTATTCCTAGGACCCTCCTGCCACGTGGAGTTCCCCTCTCCTCCACATAGCAATGTGGTGTGAGTGTTGTTGTGGGGCTTTCTTTGTGTCCCTCCTCAGGTCTTATTGTCCTGGCTGCCATCACTCCTGAGTCATCCTTGGATTCTGGCCATGAAACCAACTCTTCAGAGCTAACTGATGTCTCGGAGATGGTCTCTGCTATGAAGCAGCATCAGAATGCAGCCTACTTCCTCGCTCAACACATCAACAAAGAAAACCTCCTGGCCAGAAAGGACTTGCCTTTCCGAATCCAGAGCTGTGCTGCCCAGGCTGTTCTCACTTCACCCTACCCCCTCAGCCGCCAGGAGCCGAGCCCTTCATTGAAGCCAGACTTCTCTCACCAAAGCCCCAACCTTACCAACTGCAAGAGCAAACAGGAGCAGCAGCATGCTGAGCAGAGCTACACCTTGGCTGTCCAGCCAGGGCTGACCCCCCAGCTTAATGAGCAGAATAGGGGGGCTCCAGTGCCAGACTCTGAATGCAAAAGTGCAGGCCACACAAAAGCTGCCTTTGAAGTATCTCTGCAGGCCACAGCAGCCCCAAGCAGGGATCAGACACAGGATCTACACGAGAAGATGCCCAAAGAGGTCCAGCCGAGCTCCAAGCTCCTCCTGGATCAAAAAAGTGGTGTAACTCCAGCCATCATTTCAGCTGCCCTGCAGCAAGTGGCAAATGCAAAAGGCTCTGCTCCCCAAGCAGCAGCAGCCTCAAAAGAAGACAAGAACATGAATGGTACCAGCAGCTCTGCATCAGCCAGCAGCAAGCCTTTGAAACTTAAAGGAGATCCACAAACTGCAGAGACATTATGCAACTGTCAGCAGCAGCAACTCTCTCCACAGCAGCACTGTGAAGTTTCTCCAAGTCCTAAAGAAGCTCATAGCAGTACAGCTGAAGCTTTCCACCTTGCCTCAGCAGGTGAGGAAATGATGCCCGGTAAGAATTTTGCCTCTAAAAGCTACCAGCAAAAAGTTAGTAGAGATGCTCCAGGAAAAGCCGCAAGTGGAGAGCCAGGTCAGAAGGCAGGTGGGGAAGCCACAAGCCTCGTCTTTCAGAAACATACAGCTCCTTCAAACCAAGGACAGAAAATGCAACAGGAAAGTTCAGCCAAAATCTTAAAATCTGAGATTAGCAATCTGCACTCTCCATCACCTGGTAGCACTTTCAGGAGCACCAGTGAGGAACCCAAAGGGCCAATCCAGCTGGTGCCTAGATCTGAGAGCCTGCAGATCAGCACTGTGCCTTCCAAAAGAGTAGAAAAAGTCCTGGAGGTGACCCAACAAGATGCTGACATCCCAGCTAAACCCAAAGTTCCAAAAGCTCCCTTCAGGTTGAGGAACCTGTTCTCTGCAACATTTCCAACCCGGCTGAAGAAGGAGACGGACGAGCGGCAGGCCCAGCTGCAGAAGGTGAAGCAGTATGAGCTGGAATTCCTTGAAGAGCTGCTCAAGCCAAAGAGCAAAAGTGACCTCCCACCACAAGAGTATCTGCACCCTCCTGTTCCTGGGCGCTGCAGCTGCCAGCTAAGGAGCAGTCCTGTGCAAAAAGTCCCAGGGATGTCCAGGGAGCAAAGGCGCAGCTGCGACTGCAAGCGGATTTGCAGGGGGGTGAGGCCACCCCCTCACCAGTTGGCGATGCCAGAACTGGAGAGGCGAGGGAGGGATAAAGTTACCGATGACCAGAAGCAGGGAGAAACCATTAGGTTGACAAGTGTAAGCAGCCCTTCCAAAGGCAAGCGGATACGATCCACAAGTTTGGAGTCCAGAGACTACCGGTCAGATCCAGAGAATGGTGTGTCCTGTTTGACAACATGTGCTTCCCGGGGGGAGTGCATGGGTGCTCCACACTACAGGAAGCTCTTGCGTCGCTACAGTGTCAGTGAAATAGATAAGACTGATAGGACATCCCT